ACTAAAGCAGAATGATCTTAAATAACAAGGGAGTGCTATGAAATTTACAGCACTTTTAAGATATGCAAATTGAATGCAAGGTATAGACATAAGGGTAATTAATTGTAAATCTAAGAATAATGTTTCTTTGTCAGGGCTGTCTCCATGTTGTGGAATACATTCTAATGTGCCTTAACTCTGAATATTTCTTAAAGGCTGGTCTAATTATGAGATGTTCAGAATTTCAAAATAGTAGTTATTCTTATCGTTTAATATAGCTGCTGTAAAGTTTCATAACAAAATTTACTGATTACATGAAAATATTTTATTTTAATTTTCAAGGATAAAGCACTTGTTTAAAAGTCTAGGCACTGAGTCTTTACCTTGGAAAAAAAAAATAATATGATGGAAACAGCTTTTGCCTAAAGCAGTGTTTCTTGGTGCTTTTTGTTCAGGTTTTTCTTAAGGAGGAGAAAGGAAAGCAGCAAAGAATCAACGTAAGTCTAAATGTAAATATCTTTATCTGCTGCATTTTTGAAGTTATCATGATGGTTTTCTAAGGACTTCACAGAATAATATAGAATCTTACAATTCCATTATTTACTTATGTTTTTGATTAATTGAAGTCATTCATGTGACAATAACTCAGGTCAACCTTTCCATTGCAACAGGACTATAAAACATCACTTTCTCATTTTAAAACCGTACAAGGTTGGAAAGGAAATTTTCCAAGTTTTCAAGGAAATTTATATAAACTTATAGAACATGTAAAACCTTTTGCAGCAATAATTCAAGCCCCTGCCAGCTTCAGTAGCAGGCCTATATATGTGCTTCCTGACAGAAAACCCAATATTTGAACTGCTTTTAGCATTTAATTCAGACAAATTAAAAAGAAGATTCTTTAGGGAGCAGCATAATAAACAGTCTTCAGCAGGAATTCCATAATAGCCAGGACTTCTTGGGTTTTTCATGAAAAGACAGTTATTAGTCCTTGTGTCTTAGCAGAACTTGCTCTAGACCCATGGAAGAGTTAAACAGTGTTGGAGGGAGGAGCATGAGCAGGCAAAGCTCTCTGTGGTCACCACAGACTGACCACCAAACACTGAGAGAAGCAGGTAAACACCTTGGTTAAACCAAACACAGGGTTTGGGGAAATTGTTCCAGTTGGTAACTCTGAAGTTCCAATAAAAACTCTAATCACAGATATTATCTGACAAAGAAACTACGCTGCTGGAGGTCTGTGACTTCGATACACGTGCAGTAGCACTAGAACAGAAATGTCCTTATTTTCACCAGTCATCACTTACACTCCTCCCTGTGCAGGCATCATCCATAAGCCCCTCATCAAGGATGTGCTTTTTATACTCCAAAGGGAAAAGAGAGAAAAATACTTCAAAACCACCTGTTTTAGAAGAAGTGGAAGTGGGGTAGCTGATCTGGGGTGAGTGGTGCATGTGGGAGGATTAAAGAATTCAGGAAAACCAGAACGTGGCATGGACTAATTTTGTGGGAGCAGGGGGGGAGAAAAAGGGGAAGAGAGTCTCAGTTCATGCAGTTGGCATTTAACAGCAAAAAATCCCAAATCTAAAGTTAAAAAAAGTTGTCCAGCAGAATCAGTGTACGTTATCTGCATGAGATAAAATGCATTTCAGAAACACATCAGACAAAGTCTCTGGGAGACAGAGAACAAAGAGAGGGGCTGACCATCAGTGTGGAATATGAAAGTAAATGCTAACACGACTTTGGAAAATTTGCACATCATCACTTTGTGTCTGCTCTGCCTAAACAATTAAAATATTCTGTTAATATTTTTTACCTAAGCATAACATACCATAACTTTAGCCCCCCTTCAGTGACAGTTTGTGCTTGGAAGTTCTGTTATAGTTTAAACAGAGAACTCAGGAAATTTTGAAATCATTGCCAGATATAGAGGCAGATTTCATAACATGAGTTAAATGCATCATATGCTTACATGAGAGGGTCTCTCCTATATAACACTTGCAGAAATTATAAATTCTCCATATGCCAGCAGAGTTAATAGGCTTCCTTAAAGGAACTTTCAAAAATTATGCTTGCACAGGAGTAAGTTTCCAAAACTTTCTGTAAGGAAACAGAAAACCAAGGCACCTATTAATGCTGGGTTGTAACTGGAGCAAACTGAAATTTTCATCCTTCTTTTCATGACAGCTTTCCTACACAAGGCTTAAACTTTTAGGTACCTGAAGAAAGTGTCAGTGGGATTTCTTACTGACACCTGATTCCCTAACTTCTTGAGAAGGCAGAAAACTTAGTCTGAAGTAATGAAGGTAATGACAGAACAGTTTGGATAGAAGATGTGCCAAGGTTATGCAAAAATTTCTAAAGGCCACTTAAGGAGGAATCCTAGGAGACAAACTCCATGGTTTTGATGGAGATAAATGATATGAGGACAGATTTTTCCTTTTCTGCACAGTGCAGTGGAAATGGCATTACAGCACTGATAAAAGATCTGATCTAGAAGCAGAAGGCTCTTGTTTTCTCCAGCTGCATTTCTATGATGTGACAGATAAAGGCTATTGTCCATTTGGAAGCATTTTTGTACGTTATAGTTGCAATAGGATTTCAAGTGGAGATGACAATTTTTTCCTATCAATTAGTAAAAGACTGTAAATCTTAGGTGTGTTGCAGAGGTTAGCCACAGCTATGTTTGACCCATGTTATTTTTTCTCATTAGTCTATGATATCTACCAGCAATTTTACACACTGTTTTTGCAGGTTCAGTGAACTTTTCAAATTGTTATAATTTTGCCAAAATGTCTGACAATCAAACTTGTGACTGACTGCCCAGAAAATGCAGAGCCAAACTCAGCTTCCACAGTAACCCAACTGAAGGGTTAGAGCCAGCAAATTATCCTAAGCCAGTTTATTCTGAAGCCATTAATGACCAAAAAAATGCATTTATTTTCTGTTTCTTGTCACTCTGAACTTGCTCCTCCAATTCAATTACTGACAAATTAAACTGTTGTGAAAACAAACTCTGGCAAGCACTGAACAGTGACACAACTTCCACTCCTGAATCTCCTCTACTCTCCAGTCATCCACCAGCTTTCTAGAACTTAGCTATTGAACAGGGTGAGCATCCTCCTCACCTGGAAATAACAATAACAGTGGGAGGACCTGTGAACTAGACACCAATTACACATTTCTTTGGGTTGTTTGGTTTTTTTTCCATTGAAATTATTCTTGCTTTCACTGCATGAATCAACGGTGAGGTGAACTTTTGGCACTTGGAAGTACAGAGAGCAGATTAATAAAAGAGCAGTTCAGCAGGACCCATTCACAAAGTCCACTTCCCTGTGATGAATCACCATGAGCTAAAGCAGTCCCACCCATTTCAGTGGGATTCTCTGACCAGTGAATGTGCACAAGGCATGTGGTGGGGCCAAACAGGCAAATGCAGCATCAGGCCTTACACCCTCCTTGTTAAACAGATTTAGTTCTAATTACTGTAAGATGGATGGCCTTGCAAAATACTCTTTATTCCTAAGGTCGTTAAGAAAAGTGGAATTCTTCACCTTGTCCTTAAACTCAGTGGAACCTGCTCAGTTCACCTCTTTCACTTGGTGTGTTTAATTATTTGCACAGCTTGAATTAATACTAGGTCTATGTCTGAACGTCTCTGCTTGTCTTACTTGCTGCCAATCACTTCACAATACCCAGAATTTGAGGTTTTCTTGCTGCAGGAGTCATCAGGGAGCAAAATCAGATGAAAACATTTAAGTGAGATGACTGATATTTCCAAAGAAGACTTCACTTTCATTTTTTTCCAGGGACTTCACTTTCCTTATTTCCTGGTATAAACTCATTCCTAGACCATTAGAAGACAGGGAGAAATACCAGGCAAAAATGAAGCACTGACTCTTCATATTACAATGGCTTGATGGATCTTTGGTGATTCAAACCAAATTTAGAGAAGCCACATTTACACTGCCTGTCTCCCCAATGCCTGTAACTCCTAAATCAGAACATGGACTGCAAAAAGGTCACTGAGAAGAAACAATCCTGGATGTACTAAAATAAAAAAAAATAAAAAAAAGACAGAACTGGCACACACCAATTTAAGACTTACCAATTTAAAGAAACAATACATTATTGTGTAATATTTTCAAGTGTAAAGCTTGGGATTCCAAATGTGATCCAATATAAATCAGAGTTTTGGTAAACAAGCATGTAGCTCTCTCTTCTTGTTTGTTTTTATAAGATTTTCATGTAACATTTAAGATGCCAAGCAAGAGAGGGTGAAATGCTGCTATCCACAAGCCAGCAATACACAGGCACAAGGCTCCTCTGCAGGAGGACCAAGCCACACACAAACGAAAAATATAAAGCAAAAAATAGAACGAAGCTAAATAAAAATAATAAAACAAAAGCTACAGATTAAATCCTTTCCTTCCTTATATCCTTTCGAGGCAGCTCGAAGTCAGTGCATTTGCACAGGATGTAAGTCAGGGCACA